CATGTCATCAACTCTCCACCCAACGATTATGCACCCACGCACGCACACACGCACACCCCCACCCACACAGGCATGCAACCACACACCCTACTAATGGGCAAGTAATCTATTACAATAGAGACATACATACACCACACTAGATGGCACTGACATCATGACACATTGACAGTAGATGGCACTGTCATCAGCACACACTGACCGTAGAAGATGCTGTCATCAGCAGACACTGACATTAGAAGATGCTGTCTTCAGCACACATTCACAATTAGACAACGCTGCTAGAACTGACCTGAAATGCGATGCCGAGATTTCTGCCATATTGATAAGCAACTTCCTGCACATCCTCATGTGCATCGCTCAGTACGGCTACCTGAAGATAGATGGCAGCACAGACGACTGAATTAAACTTTCAAGGCTTTCAAGTTTTTTCACTGTTACACTCGTTGGTCTCGTAAAAACAGTGATCGTATTTTATTTTCAAGGGTAATAGTCAATACAGTGTATTGTTTTGGATTTTACATGTAAGATTACTACCGTTTGGACACCTAGAATGCATACATAGTGCGTGACGTGCACGTAAAATGAGATGCAACTATCTTGCGGGACGCGAATCTTTGATATACAGTACACAACATATTATCCGAAATTCTAAAAACCGAAAGTTTTTTCGTGGAGGTTGTCTGCACACCAAAGCTCACGTTTGGCTGCACAAGGTTCACTGCAGAAATATTAATGTGTTTGGCATTACTCACATTTTGTACTGTACCGGTACAGCACTTGGTCTCTTGAAAACTTGGGAGATTTTAATACTGGCTAGTTGCAGGATATATGGTATGTATATCTGTACCGTACTACCATTCCGAAATCCAAAAAATTCCGAATTCTGAACTGTGTCTGGTCCCACGGGTTTCGGATACTGTATACGCTGTATATTTCGCGGTGATTTAATTTTCGCAAAATTTTCAACGCGTCCCCGACTGCGAAAATAACAACATGCGAAAATAACAAAACGCTGTTCTTCACTGATTCGGGAATTCACCAAACGCGAAATTAACTACTCGCGAAATTGTCCGTCAAGTCTGAATTCGCAAAAATATCTGTGTGCAAAAAATATGGCGTATACAGTAATAGATTGTGTATTATATGTACATACAGCTCTGCAACTGTTTGCTATCAAGCTTGCTGTCTTCTTGTAAGTCTTGTCTAGGTAGTGCGCAAATCGCTGATTTTCATTCTCCTTCGTGCCTAGCTGCATGAATTCCCCTTTCACCAGATCTTCGAGTACCTGAGAATAGAAGAAAACATTCGATTCTATAAACACTAACGCGCTTATCCGCACCTGCACTAACTTTATGACCGATGAGCTAACCAACGTGAGTTATTCCCAAACTGGCCATTACCCCCCCTTTGTCTAATTTTCCCTCAGAAGAAAACCTGCACACCCGCTTTTATATTGTTTCAAAGTTGATTATTCACGACCAGTTTATATACATTTTTCATTCATCTACTCTAAGACATCAAAATTTTCAGCACTTCGCCACTAAACAGTGTTTTTATAATGCCTCTATCATTCTGCCAATTGGCTAGATCCACACACCTGAGATAACAAGATCACCACTTGTTCGTTTCCGATCCTAGCGAGAGCTATGGATGCCTGCGATAGGATGAAGTCTCCCGTGAGGACAGCCTGCGTGGAAATCAATAGCACGAGCATTAAATTGACTACGTCACGAATTTTCTATGGTGTATATTTGTAAAGTTTTTGTTGCAATTTTTGTACATTAAATGTTAGTACTAATGGTACTAAATGTATTGTCAAATTCTTACCTGATAAGATTGTTTCTCAACTAGTTAAAAATCCAATAAACCTGGACGATTTGATAGTATGATCCTACATGTGCATGTGTGTGCGTGCGTGCGTGCGTGCGTGCGTGCGTGCGTGCGTGCATGCCTGTGTGCGTGCATGCATGTATGTGTGCGTGCGTGTGCATGTGTGTGTGTGTGCGCGTGTGTGCGTGCATGCATGTATGTGCGTGTGTGCGTTGGAGCTTACCTTGCGCTGGCCCCACAGTTTGTTGATACTAGGCTTGCTACGTCGCTTGTCGGCTCGGTCGATGACGTCGTCGTGAACGAGGCTGGCCGAGTGAATCATCTCCGCTATCATCGCGATGCATCGCTGACTAGCGAGACAACTGAAAACGCATCGGCAGTGAGACAGGAGAGAGACTATCACCGTTACGACTCACCCACCCGTCTGAGTGGGGTGACGACGTCCACCATTGCTAGGTAGGTCGAACCAAGGAGCTAAATATAACAAGGAGAGGAAGCGGATTGGCTGTGTGCTTTTCGCCTCAAGGACGCCATCTATGGACCATAATCAGCTGAAACGGCTGTGCAGATCCGTCCCCCAGAGACAATAGAACACTAATCTGTTCTGGACCAATATGACCAAATATGGCAAATATTTGGGCCAGATATGGCGGCGCTTCCTCTCCTTGTTATATTTAGCTCCTTGGGTCGAACCACACCAGTTTATACGCGCGTTGCCATGTGTTGCACGCCAAATCATCGAGCTTGCACACTTCGTTACTAGGCAGTGTATTTACCACACTGTTATCATTATGCTGACTGGCTAGACCTGCATGTCAATCACTCCAGATGGACAGCTTAATTACAAGAAGAACATAAACCAATTATATCACTGATAAATAAACAAATTCATGTACAGAATACTTGGGAGAGGGTCGGGCGGTATGTGTGCGTGTGTGTGTGAGGGGGGGGGGAGATATATATTGACAGGTGATGACGAAATGCGATAACAAATGTTCTCACCTATCTGATGTCCCTGTGTGGATATTGCACGCTGTTGCCATGAGACATGCAATCATCGGTCGAAATGCCTTTCCTTCTCCTAGGAGATAATAATTTGCTAGCTGATGCAGTTCATCATGCTCTGTGCCCAGCTCCTGAAAATGGACACATTGGCATACAAGGCAGTTGATACCAACAAATTGACAATTTAAATTTTAAAATCTTGCGTGCGATGGTCAATCAGTAAGATCTAACGATGATACCAGTGTTTATGGCATCAGAAATCTAATTTCTCAACATAATATCATCAGGAGTAAGATAATATAGATCTTATTATCTATATTATCTATATTATCTTACTCCTGATATCAGTGGTGTAAAATACGTCAGAGAAACATCCCAGGTTCCCCAACTACCTACTATTGACTCGATTATATCCTGTGTACTGCCACTACTGGTACATTCACATATCGTACATTCATGTATACGACCAGTTCGCACGTCACTACGCAATACTCCGATAACGTGAACTCGTGATGCTAATAGGCTAAGTACTGCGTTTAATGTTAGCGTTAACTTACCGTTTGTATGTCAGAGTACAAGGCATGCAAGTCCCCTCTCACTAACTGATACGGATCGGGGGCAGCTACACGTGGCTCCCTCTCGTGGGCCCGTCGTGTATCGGATAGACATCTCGTTATCCGGCGATCGTTGGCAGTCAATACATTACTCGTTTTACTGTACTGTAAATGAAAGATGTGTGTAAATGTAGACAAGTAATGTAACGACGGTACAGAGCATGTGTCAGTAATTAAATTTGCAGCCTTATCAACTAAGTCTAATGAGTAATGTATAAAGAACAATGTTAAAAATAACCTAATTCAGTGAATTTAGGGGCAGTTGAACTGAGTGACATTGAGTCTGTGCACAGGCACTTGAAGCGTTTCAATAAAATATAATGCTAAATAAATACGAAATCTATTTACTACCCAAGATTTATCTAACGAAATGTTTCTATACTCTCTCACCTTTATTGCCAACAGTTTCCTGTAAATTCCGTCCAAATCTATTTGCAATAACACGCTTGCGGCCGCCATTCCTCACGCGGTTGCACTGTGCACAATTACACTTATATATAGCAGGTAGGAAAGCGTGTGCCCAAATTCGCTCGACGCTCGCTGGATTTCACACGATTACAAACACAATATTCAACCATCCTCTCCATCTTTGTTTCTATTTCAACAAGTGTTCACTTGTTATAACAAGTGCCGCGGAACGACAGCGCTCTATCTAACGTCTACTGCGGTGACTCTGTGGTGGAGTGGTGGGATTCTAGTAAACCCTGTTAGTCCCAAATGTGTTCACATACACGCCAAAACAGTGAGAGGCACAGGGATGGTATCAGGAACCTTCTCAAAAGGAATGTTTCGTTGGGATCGTTATGAAAGTTGCCACGAGTTGGCGCGTTACGTTTAAGTGTCTTAAGGTTAAAGATGAAGCTCCCATCGTACGTAGTAGCAACAACTATTTGCAAGACAAGATAGGTAAGCACTCATCCATTTACCTGCGCAAGCCTACAGGTTGAAATAGAGAGGCCTCCATCTGTAACTAATTAACGCAGCAAAAACTACACAGTAATATCATCACCACATGCACTGCAGTGGCCACTGGCAGTGGCATCGTTACATGTAACACAACTGACAGTACAGAATGCCATAGAAATTATACGATTAAGGAGATAAACCTTCTCCAACCAAATTAGCTTGAAATTTCACTGTGACATTGTAGCCTCATACATCCAGGCATGTATAGATTCTACTAGCAAACCCGGCATTCAAATTCTTTCTAACAGACAGTAAACAAATCCATGTTTGAACCCTCCTCTGTGAGGGTCAAAAGGGTTATCCGAACACTTACTCTTCGCATGTCAGCAGAAAGTACATTTCATGGTCTTTCAATAAAGCCATAAATGCTAAGTTCACTGCTGAAACAAAAAGTTTTTCAATCGCTCCGTCAGACCATGTCCTCAGAAATGTCTAAAATCTGCCCTGTGCCCATTGACCTTTGACCTCCAATTTCGGCACAGTGATGGCTTTCCTACCATGTGCTATACACGACTATCACAACCTAGGTCGAGCCGTTTAGATTTGTGCCGCAATTCTGCATTTCCTCCTATACTTAAGTTAAGGAGGGAATTACCCCTTGCTTTTACACCTCTTGACTTTGACCTTTGACCCCCAGCTTCGACACCCCAACTCGTTTCGGATTACCCCCCCCCGTCCCGACTTTCGAATCCGTACGTCGAGCCGTTTAGATTTTGCTGCCCAAACTGTTGAACGGACGCACGCACGCACGGACGCGGACGGTCACAACGACACGGACGAACGCACGCTCATGCGATTCTACAAGCTGCCATCTGTACTATTCAGATGAGCTAAAAACATACTGTCTTTGTTCGTAACCGAGCTGTGTCACGCGAAATCACACAAAGACTGGCAGTATCTCGGCGTTCGCTAACGTTGCCCAGTAAATGTAAATGGCTGCAAGTACAGGGCTTTATGACTGGTACTCGCTCCACCTCGATTACTCATCGAGTAACTGAGCAGCCGAGAGGTGGAGCAAGTACCAGTCTATGGGCTATAGGCGGCGCGATACTTCAACTCCCGTACGAAGCCTCGCCATTGGAGCGTTGGAAAAACGTTGCAGCGGTGCAGCGCAAGAATGAGGTCACGAAGAGCGCCGTGGGGTGTTTCCTGATTCTGCAGTCATTTACATTTAATGGGCAACGTTAAAGAACGCAAGAATTTCGTCAGTCTTTTGTGTGATTTCATGTGTGACACAGCTCGGTTACGAACAGAGACAGTATGTTTTTATAACAATGTGAACACTGTTGTTGAAATAGAAACAATATGAAGTAGAATCGTTGATATTTGTGTTTGTTAATCGTGTGAAATCCAGGTGAGCGTCGAGCGAATTTGGGCAGCACGCTTTCCTACCGGCTATATATATATAAGTGTTAGTTGTGCACAGTGCCCCGCGTGAGGAATGGCGGCTGCAAGCGTATGTTGCAAATAGGATTTGGACGGAATTTACAGGAAACTGACGAGCAATAATAGGTGAAAGAAAGTTATAGAAACATTAAGGAATTTGGTAGTAAATAGATTCGTATTTATTTAGCATTATATTTTATTGAACGCTTCAAGTGCCTGTGAGTCTGTGCGCTCCACGCCACTTGACGTACGTTGCCATTGGATGGCATTGCTAGATTACTACTACTCTAGTAGTACTACTCAGTAGTAGTACTAGTAGCGATATCGAGCCTCGTGGTACCGGTACATCATGCTTTAGCTAGCAGGGTTACGCTATCATATCAAGGCAATAGTTGATATGCCTGTGGCTATATATGGCCGGCAGCCGGAACGGTCTTCGATTTCCTAAATGCCCGACAGTTTCCTAACCCTAACAGGGCTCGACTTTAACGGTGGCCCGGGTGCCAATGGCCACCTGAAACGGCGTCGGGCCACCTGAAACTGTCGGTAGTGTGGGCCCGCCTGGCCACAATAAAAATAAGGCCGTGGCTACAACGACCGGTTCCGGCGAGGAGCGCCTAGGCTACGCGTCCGGACATCCATCTCACACAAGAGATCTTGCGACACGACACGGCATGATTACGCAAGGGGACGCTCTCTGCTGATTGCCAAGTGTGTGTGTACGTGTGCGTGTGTGCATATGCGTGTGCGCGTGCGCGGTGTGCGTGTGTACGCGCGTGTGTGTGGTGTGTGTGTGTGTCGTGTGTGTGGTGCATGGTGGGCGTGGCGCGCGCTGGTGTGTGTACGTGTGGTTTAGAGTGAAGCAGATTCTGAGAATGTCAATCGCAGACGAAGAACAATGCTTTACTTGGCAATCAAAACAGTAAGTGCACCTGGCAATCCATTCGCTACCATCAGCGTGGGTGGTGTGGGGCGGTTGGGCCGGCATTGCAGTGGTTCGCTGCAGAGGTTCAGACAAGTGGAGTAGGAGAGGAGGTGGGGTGATGGGTAGTTGAGAGGGAGGGGTGTAGGTTAAACCCCGCAGAAACGAGGTGTAGGCGCAGGAAGGTGTAGGGATGGATACACTGTAGGAGACAGAGAGGGCGGTGGAGGGGGGAGGTGCGGCGTGTAGGATGGATCCACTGTAGAGGACAGGGGGGGTAGGCGATTGATACACTGTAGAGCAGAGAGGGTGTAGGAGGAGGGTGTATGGATGATACACTGTGAGACAGGGGGGTGTAGGGGAGGGGGTGTAGGGATGATCACACTGTAGGGACAGAGAGGGGTCTGTAGAGGGGGGATAGGGATATCCTGTAGCAGACAGAGAGGGTGGAGGGGGAGCGGGATTTAGGGATTGTACACCAGGTAGAGACAGGAGGTGTAGAGGGAGGGGTGTAGGGATGTGCAAAAAAGAGGACCAGCGCTGAGCCAGACTCTGATGTATCTGACCCCATATGTTCAGAAATTGATTCCGATTCATCAGAAGTGTTAATTTTCAGATGACAGTTCCCACCACTGGGGGGGGGGGGAAAAACGGTTGACTGATTGAGGACAGCTTTTAGATGACATCTGTAATACAGAGTTCTGTACTTTAAAAAGATACTGGCAGAGGAGATTTGAAAAGCTTTTTAATGGTTGGAAACTATTAACTCAGTCAGTTTTGTTCTTTCTTTTGTTGTCTGTCGCATCTAGTTATGTTAAATTGCGATTATTTGCCAAAACCCTTACCCATTAGTTAGATACAAATAAATATTTAATAAATGTGGCAACCGGCCGCACCTGAAAATCCATTGGCACCTGAATTCATATCAAGTGGCCCGGCAGGACCACCTGAAAATAAATGTAGGCAAGCCTGCCTAGAACCCTTTGTTTACTTGAGATAACGCTGAACAATTAAAAACGCCAGGCATTTAGGAATATCGAAGAACGTGCCCGGCAGCCGTCAGATATATTCGGCTGGCTGTGGCACTATAGCCACTCTGTACTTTATAATGCTGGCCTATATAGAATGCTAAGTCCAGTGAGTTGTCCTGTACCGTTTACATTGCGTACTCATACAGACTACAGCTGAGAGGTCTATGTACCCAGGGTACTCCGGAACGTTACCTGGTGGCCCTGTCTTATCTAATGGCAGACTAGCTCTAGAACTATATAGCCGCGTACAGTTGACGGCTGTGCTATAGACCAGCATTTGGGAGTATGCGCGGGGACCACGTACTTCACGCTTATTCCGGCTATAAACGTCTGTTGCGTAGCAATTAAGCCTCGTATCAAAGTGACTATGTCTATAGTTCTATCAGCTACTAAAATTAGACCTTAACTATCGCTCTCAATGGTATAATTGCGGTATTTCTTGTGGTGAACGCGAAAACATTCGTTTGCAAACTTCAAACGGTCCATTTTCGGCAGCGGTGCAGCAGCGCCAGTCGCGGAAAACTATTGTATTTCCGCATGTGGGGAGTGGGCAGTTGCATGGTTATGGACTATAGTTTCCCGCAGCTGGCTGGAGTCAGTCTGGTCCCGCGCTCTGGCTCATGGGCTGGTCCTATACTATAGCCTCCGAGACCGGCAACTGTACGCTGGCTAATATTTACGTCGTGAGAGGTCTATGTACCCCGGCTCTTGGTACTGCGGAATCTACCTTGTACTATCTAATATGCCGGACCGTTACCTCGCCTTTACTTCACTTAACGAGGTCTAGGTAGTCGCCTACGTTCTATCCTATATCACCGAATCGCTAATTGCTAACTACTAACCATATCAAATAGCCTTGACCCGGGTACGTTCGGTATACCGGACCGTACCTAGGGGCCAGGGCACGTTCCGGCAGTAGCCTGGGGGACATAGACCCTATGAGTATGAGCTATAGTTACTACTAATACTAGAGCTCATAGGGTCTATGGCCCCCAGGGTACTGCCGGAACGTACCCTGAGGGACACAGACCCTATCATATAAGCCAGACTACAGTGATCAAATGCCATGGATCAGATGGCTACTCTCACTCACTCTGTACCGTACTCACCGTTATATTATTGCAGCGATGAAATTGTGTGCGCTTATAAGAGGTACTTGTGAAATATGCGGCGAGCGACACTAAATGTTTTCTACGTAGAAAGCAGTTGTTTAACGAGCAGAGCCCAGGTATATTATTATTAAATTTTAACAGTGACCTCACTTGCTTTAGGACGGGCGCAGCCATGTTTGCATGTCCTGCCATCTGGCGGTGCAAATCGTGCTATACGTATGGTTTGGTATCAAGAGCGTATAAAGAATCCTTCTTTATACGCTCTTGATAATATCCACTCCTGATATTATAGAGACATCTATACTACGTATATTATATACCTATATAGACACATAGTCTAGATGTATTATTTCTATGGGTACACCATGTCTACATTATGTCTACTGTACATATAAAGGGATAGCTGACTCGATGACCCTATGGTCTTTCGCTACCACTTCACCCTTCAATTTAATGTTTTCTGTATCATAGTATCTTTGCTAATTGTGGTAATAAATAAATTTGTTGAATTTAATTTAATTTGAATTTAATTTAATTTCAATTGAATTGAAAACACCGAAATATAATAACATTATATACATACATGTGCTGCTTTGCAAGCTCCTTGGGTTCCACCCGCTAAAGCTGTGTGAAAGTAGTGGGGAGTAATGTACCATTTAAAATTTTAAGTTCATATGTGCGTAGGCATCGTTTGGCCCACAATCCCACCCAACGATGACATGGCCTGCACGGGCTCTTTTATAGCTTGCAGCACGGTACTACCTGTACTACCTGTGGACTGTGGTAACACTGACGAAAGATTCAAAACGTTTTTTTGCACGCTGTTAAAAGTTAATGGTTAACAAGACTTACACATAGCAGTATCTGTACAGGGGCGTGTACAGGATTTGTACCAGGGGGGGGAGGGGGTCTAACCGTAACCAAAGCTTGCGAGCACTCGAAGGGGGGGGGGTCTGGGGGCCCTCCCCAGAAAATGTTTGATATTAGACCCCCTTAGATGCGTTTTCTGCGCGAGCAGGGGGGAGGGGGGGTCCGGACCCCCTGGAGCCCCCCCACCTGTACACGCCCCTGGTGTAAGTGCCAGATGTTGCTCATATAACATTGTCATAAGGTAGTGCAATAACCTACCTTGTTAGACGGCAAGCTTCCATCGGTTTCCTCTTCATTGATGGTGCAATCTAGTGATACATAATTGCACATGTATGGACGTGTTCGTGATAGAACTAGATGGGTTTCCTCATTTCAATTGACAGCATCCCTGGCATCTGGGCGAGCGGTCTGGGTTTTGAGTCTTAACTCGCCATTACTATCGAGTTCTTGAACAGGTGGATACAGAAATGGGGCAGTGGGCTGAACAGACAGCTACGCATTTAGGTAGATACCAGAAGGTAATTATCCAGCAGTTAATTGAGTGCCAAATTTGTGAAAGTCTAATGGAGACTTTTCCTCTCGTTTCCTTTCGTTCGCTTTTCTTCTCACTTATTCCTAGCTGTGTGAACGTTGTTCCCGCCCATGGTAACATGTTTCCAGCAGCTGTGTGAACGTTGTTCCCGCCCATGGTAACATGTTTCCAGCAGCTGTGTGAACGTTGTTCCCGCCCATGGTAACATGTTTCCAGCAGCTGTGTGAACGTTGTTCCCGCCCATGGTAACATGTTTCCAGC